CAGCAAGCATCGAGCATTGAATGGAAAGTCAAAATTTTATTTTTTCAAAAGCTTTTGGTATATGAAAGATTTTGTCCTACCTAATGCTAAAACACAGTTAAAAATTTTTTTTCGAACGTATGAAGGGACTGGTATCCAAGGAAATTCATTTCCTTTGCAACGGGTTCATAAATCCTCATAAAATCAATGATTTTTAGACATTTTTCTATGAATATGTTTTCTGAACATGATAAGATAAGGTATTTTGGTTACTTTATTTGTTAAAAGATGGAATTACTTTATTCTCCATAAATAGGAAAAACAAAATTTCTGTAGTCATATTGTTGCCATGACAACGGGAAAAGAACATGGCGTCAATGCTTATTAATTTTGAAAAAAATTACATATGTTTATCACTATATACACAAAATCTACAACCACTGCTGGAAAAATGAATGATGTGATCTTGTTAGGGGTTATCTATATGTAATATCTATACAATAAAATTTGCAGGCAACTTTAGTAGAAAAAAGTTACAAATGGTTAAAATGTGTGACAATCTGGCATTTATAAGCTTTTTTGAAGGGACGGGGGTAATTTGAATACATGTACAGTGTCCATTATATTGGTCATATTTGTTCTGATCAAAGCATACTCATAATTTTACTATTGTTGATAAATAAATGCACATTTAATTTCAAAAGGAATTTTATATTCCTCATAAACGAAACTTGGAAAGTGGGTGGGGGGGGGGGGTAGGAATCACCTTGTTCACCCATCCATATGTATGTAAAATTTTGCCTTGTCCATAACATTTCAATGAAGTTCCACTGAAAGTTCATACTTGATATTAAGATTGCTTGTGATCTAGAGATGTGTCAAAAACTTTACCCAAGGTCATTTGAACAAGTTCAAGGTCATTGGTAGAAGAATAGTGCAATCTTTGCCCATTCTGTAACATTCTAATGAAAAGACTTGAAGTTTCATCTCGGATATTATTTTTGAGCTGTAGGTTTGTCATGACCTTGACCAAAGTTCATTTGGACATGTTTGACCTTGACTCAAGGACATAGCTTTTTCAGGGTCATTGCAGTAAAAGTGTACTATATGAGTTTGGCACATTTACATATTTAATGAAGAGAAAGTTTGTGCTCAACACAATGGTTTTACTACCTACATGTATGACTTGAGTATACATGTATGTCATAGTCATTTTTGGTATGTATATCTGCACTAGCAAAATTTTAAAAAGGTTTTAAATTAATATTTGGACCTTTTTTGAAATAAAAACATTTAATGCAATAGCATTTTTTATGAGCTTGCTCACAATAATTATAGTTTATGAAAGAGAGTCACTATGACAGCTCACATAATTTTAAAGTAAAACCATATCAATCAGGCATGTAGCATCAGGTTTGGGTTGGGTAGGGGGGATGACATCCCCACCCAATTTTTTTCTCAACATAACCTGATGTTTAACCCCCCTGCGAGTTTGGAGAATTTCCTCACTTTTTTTCTTGCAGTTTTTTTATGCCTACCCCACACCATGCAATTTCAAAAATGATACCATGTCTGTCAAGAACGAATGACTGCAACCTTTGGTATTGAACCGATGATATATTCTCCTGCTGTCCTTATTAAGAATTAATATTGCAAGACAGCTAAGACCTCAGTATCTATACTGGTGCCTAAAACAAAAATCTTGAAGACTATATATAAATGAATGTCTAAACAAGAACTGACTAAAAGATAATTAATAACCCTAATGGGCATTCCTATATCTAACAAGAGGCCCATGGGCCACATATCACCTGAGAAACTTTGGCCAGGCTGTTCTTTAATACCCCCCCATTTGTAATACAAATTGTGACCACGCCCTACCCCATAGGTCATGATTTGGACAATTTAGAATCACTACCCCAAAGTTTCAGCTTTTCTGGTCCAATGGATCTTGAGAAGAAGATTTTCAAAGATTTTTCCATATATATTTCAATGTAAAACCTGGATATATATATGCAAAATATATATATATATATATATATATATATATATATATATATATATATATATATATATATATATATATGTTCTTGAGAAATTTTAATGACCCCACCCTATTTTTGTAAATTATTGAATCTCCCCTGAACTTGGCCCTGATTTTAAAAGATATTATTGTACCAAGTTTGGTCAAAATTGGCCCAGTGGTTCTTGAGAAGAAGTTGAAAATGTGAAAATCCAGCATATACAGAAAAATTTTTGATTGAACAAGCTAATTATGAGCTCTCTAGGTGAGCTAAAAACATTTTGAAAACAATGTAGAAATCAGAAGAGAATGACAAATATGAATATTTTACATATATATAATACCTAGAGATACAAAACATAAATTTGAGGAACGTGTCGTCTGACTTTAAACTAGTTCATCATCATCATTTTTTATTTCACTCACACCAACATCAGTCCAACATGAGGTACAATATATAAATTAGCCCTCTTTCTTTTTTCTCACAAAAACATTTTGTCAGTTTTAAAATTAATTGATTGATTGACCTTGTTTTAATTATGATACTTCAAAATGCGGAATATTAAGACATGTTTCAGATTCTTCGACTATCTAATAATTATGAATCTGCATGCTAAAAATTGATATAGTTATTAGATTTATATCAATAAAAAATGCTAACAGACAAACAAACAATGTCACTTTTGGATTGAACATTTTATTTTATCACTTTCGTGAATACACTGTACAATTTATGGATCAATTTTCTGGATCCCTGAGTCTCCGGTAACGTACACTATCCACTCACTTCCAGCATCAATGGTCTGTACTGTAATAATGTATTCTCATAATCTGAAAAAAGTGATAAAATTGAAATGTGATAGTATTATACAGCTTTGCCGTCATATAGTATACTTAGAACCATTTCTATTTGAACTTGAGGAATGATGATGAATGCAAAGCATGTTAATTGGAATCAATTAAATTCCAAGAAATCTCAATGGTTTATCATTTCATTTTAAAAAGTTAATGTTTTTACTAAATGTATTATTTACATGTTTTTCCTGTCCAATTCTATATCTGTTTCTGCTTCTTTCCGAGTTTGGCTTCAAAGTGCCGAATTTCATTCTAAAAACAGAAATACTTAGTATACAACACAAAGTTGAGACCGCATTGATTTTAAATATTCTTTAAGTTTAAAAACTTGCAATAAAGGTAAATTGGTTCTAGGTTTTGTCAAAACTCTAAATATTTCCAATTCCCCCCCCCCCCCCCCCATGAAAAAATGAAGTATAGATATTCATTTCATAAATTTACGTGCTTTAAATCTAATGATGCTTATTATTTGAACCTAGTTCAGTGGTACCGGAGAAAATGTTAGCTGAATATGAATTTTCTTTTATGAGTAAACACTGGATGACATCAGCTAAAATTTTTTTTTTTAATTAATTATTTTACTGTGGTATATATACAATTCAGTTACCACTAGTCCACAACAGTACATAATACACTTGTCTGCATCACAATACTTCCAATGTAATCCCCTTTCCTAAACTAAAATATATTAAGTACAGAGTTAACCCCATGCCCCTTTTTCTTTTTCTTTTTTACGGACGCCATAACAAAGGTCATTCCATTTTACAAACATTTCATAATAGTGTTGGCTTTCATAAATTCATAATTTTTCATGTGAAAAGCATGTATTATCTTAAATGGTAAATAAAGATATCTACTTTTATATACAAAAGTTTTATTTACTCGACCATCAATCAATTATAATCATTATATAGCTGGTGAGTGACTAGTTTAATATCAGCAATATTTAACTTTATAATTTGGGGGGGGGGGCATACCCCCTCCTCCTGGTTCTGCAGGCCATGCATAATCTTTAATTTTTGTTTTTAGTTATAAAATAAGTAATGCTAACATATATAATCAATCAGAATAAAACTGAAATGTGCAAAAACACTTGCCAAGTGTTACATATTTTACTGCATGGATAATTTATGCTATACATTCTTCAGTAACTGTTGTAATGGTAAATTGTAAAAATTTCAATCACTCACCGTAATTAAGACTCATGAAAACGACAAAACTGAGGCTCAGACTGCTCCAAGTTTGTAATTTTCTGCTAGTCTTCTGTACATTGTTATTGAAAACAATGTAAGCAAACTACCGTTTATTCCTCCTATGTTAGAGAGCTATACCAAAGGGAGGTAATTTGAAGCAAAATTGACAGAAAATTATGGATTTAAATCAGTTGTCATATATAAATGCTTTAGTTGCCTGCAGATTTTTTTCTTGATTCTTCTAGAACAAATACTGTTTAATAAATATTTTATGTTGATAAGCTTTAATGTGGTTGTAGATTTCTTATAGAGTACTTCAAATTTGCTGTTTTTAAAGCAAAATAAACCTCCAAAAACTAGTTTCATTCATCAAAAGGTGAAGAGAATTTCAATAATCAACAGTTGTTAAAATAGAGTATATTTATATAAATAAAATAATAATTTAAAAAGCTTTTTTTAATGACTAGTAATAAAAAAGTATTTGTTTAACCATAAATTCAAGTGTCATGATAAAGTACAAAACACGCCATTGAAAGGCGCGTGGTTTCCATAGCAACAATGCAAAAAATTATTTTTTGCTTGCCTTTTTCTATCATACCCTTTGTTCTGAAAATTTTTATATGAGTTTTAACCAAATCTGTTTCTATGCCACTTTCCACATTTTTTAACTAAATGCTTGATGCTTGCTGATTTCGACTCTTACCTTTGTGGAGAGTGACTATGATAGCCCTATGCTTCAAAAGGAACGAAGAGGATTTAGTAAGTAAGTAAATAAAAGCCATAGCATTTTTAAAGTGGAATCTTTTTTTTCATTTTCAATGACTGTCAAATTATGCATTTAAAGTCACATCGATCAGTACTTTCAGTACTTCGAATTTTCTGCGCGCAATGCTGATCGGGATCGGCATTTCGAGTGTTGTAAACAAAATATTGCAGGTATGGTATGCTGAAAAAAGATTGTTCGATTGTCATGTTGCTGGACAGAATAGCTCATACTAAAAGGGATATTCCACTGCCCCATGTAGGATCCCATTCCCAACAGACCCTTTTCATATGACATATTTTGCTTAAGAGTTAGTCCCTTTGTTTCCATCTTGTAGTAGGGCAAAGTCTTTGAGTAACTAATTTTAAACTTGCATGCAAAAAGTAAAAGTAAAATTAAAAAAACTTAAAATAATTCCTTCATCATTTGTACAGGATGGTCATTCTAACTCGGAAATCATGCATGGGGGGGGGGGGGGGGGTTGTTCTGATATTTCCTATATTTATTTGCAAGTCTGTTGATTATAGGTGGGGGTTTAGGTGGAGTTTCGAGGTGGAGATGGGCTTAAATTAAGAAAATTCAGTTGAATGACAAACAAAGCATGATAATTTATGTGTAAACGTCTTTCTGTGATATTTTAACTGTGATAGTTGGTTTAAGAGCTCTACAGAGCTCATGTTTATCGTTATGTATGTAGTATACAATGCCAACTTTAAATAAAATTTACTTACTTACTTACTTACTTAAAGAAGTTTGACCAGAAGGAAATTTTCTGATGAAAAATTTGCCACGATTTGTTATCTTTACCTGTTAACAGATTTTCAAAAATTAATGTAGATGTTTTGTTGAACAATTCTATTACAGGGGTTTTGAGCTATAAATAGATCATGATGGCAGAGTTGCCCACATCTTGTTCTGAAAATCTATTATCGGATGACCAATCTACTGGTAGGTTAACATATATATATAAAAGAAAATCATTTGTATAATATTCCGAAACAATTCATGAATTCTAAGGCACATTCATAAGTTCCATATTTGAAGTTAGCCAGTCAATAGGTCCTCAGTAGCCCCTTGCTTGTCGTAAAAGGCAACGAAATGGGGCGGTCCTTTGGATAAGACCGTATAAATTGAGGCCCAGTGTCACACCAGGTGTGGCACGATAAAGATCCGTCCCTGCTCAAAGGCCGTAAGTGCCGAGCATAGGCATAAATTTGCAGCCGATCACCAACATTGAATGGTGACGTCTCCATACCAGTGAAATATTCTGGAGAGGGACATTAAACAGTATACAATCAATCAAGCAATTCTTGGTCTCATCGATTTGAGTACATTTTTGTAATATTAAATAGATTTTGTGGCAATCTTACAGATAACATGCCTTGATTGTAGAAAAGAAAAGACCTTTTGGGAATCCTGATACTTCAAAAAGAGACAGAGAAACTCAGCAGCAGAGAACTATGGAGGTACATGAATTTATATTTTCCAGTTTGATATCATGTTCATATTAAGTAATCATTATCACCCAACCACAACAAATAATAAGTAGTTCAAAGCTGTTCCTTCAGCTATAGCACTTTGCATTTTGAGATGAAAGTTGTTAATAAGACAAAATGATCGAAGATAAATAGACATAAGACAGAAAGTTTGAAGAGTCAGAAACAGATATTTGCAGTATCTTTTTATCTATTCTTGTTTGAAAATTTATGAAGATAAACTATAATACATGTATAATCAGCAAATTAAATAGAAGAATATACTGGGGAAAAAATGAAAATATTTGAATATACTAGTTACTTATTAATTATATTTTTTAAAAAAATAAATGCATTGTGCAATGTTTTTTATATCAACTAGAGGTACTGTGAGCGATGAGCTCACTAAATGATACCCCCCGCTTTCCATATGGTTATAACAGGTGAAAATGTCCATGTTTTCCTGTGGCCGGGAAACCCAAAATATGTGTCGGATCAAAAAGGAAAATAGGAGGTGCACAATGGCAATATGTAATAAAGATTCTATGAAAGTTTCATCAAATTTCATTCAGTGGTATGAGAGGAGTTACGGATAAGAGATGGGTACCCCAAAGCGTAACAGACGGACGGACAGACAGACGGACGGACGGACGGACGGAATTAACGATTACTATATACCCTCCCGCTTTTCAAGCGGGGGGTATAATAATATTTATAAGTCTAAGAACCAAAATACAGTCACACCTTATTGTCCTAAACTCAATTGGACCAAGATTTCTGTAAACCAACTTTTATTCACGTTCGAGAATTTTTCACGAAGTTCGCGAGGGTCCTCGTTATCGCGAATATTTCTTGCCGCGAACTGGTCCTTAAAGACGTACAACACACTGGGGGAGATAACTCTTGCGATTTCAATTGAACGTTTGACGTGACGTCAAATTTAACGTCAAAAATAAAGCATCAAAACGACAAGCAAAACGATCCCGATGCATATCAATCATGAACATGGGGATTGGCTGTGATTGTGCGTACCATACTCAATCAATAAACTTGTTTTGTTTTTTTTAATTAACCCGATTAAACTCCGTAAAAAGCAAGACATAAAATACCATCCCTTAATGTTTATTTCATTTAATTTCATATACAATAAATTGTATTTTTGATCAAAGCACAGCATTTTTTTTATTCTGGAAATTTTATTTTACATTGCCGAAATTCTCATCATGTACAATTGGCGATATAACATTCCGATTAATGGTCTTCATTACAATTTGTGCATACACGATATATATATTGTTTTTCTTCTTTAATTAAATAAAACAACAATTTAAATAAACAAAAACATTTTACAATGTAAAATCGATGTTGTTCTCAGACCCTTACTGATCAAAGAGGAACAACTCTGAAAATGTAGGAGATGTTTATTTCCTTCCCTTTATTCACGGTTTTCCACAGAATCAGATACATTTACAGCATGACCTGATAAATCCGAGAATTGAATACTATAGACCTCATATACACAATGTAAGTATAGAATTGAAAAGAATTGTTCACTTGTACTGAAATTATCTGCATTTATGAATATCCTATTGCAGCAAATCGTAACTTTGACTTTCTGTCGACAATGTCGGTTCGCATTTCCTCGAATCAAAACAAAACGTAGCCTATAAGATTTTTAAAAATATCAATGTGCGATTTGATATTAATTGAAATAGATGAAGAGTTTAATGTTTGATATTTTGAAGTTGATGTGGACGAATACGGAATTTTCATTTTAACTTTACAACATGCTTTAGAAGCGACGACATTGAAAGAAATGCGTACAATATCATGAGGGGTGTATGTACATCTAATGCAAATGTCGATGTATCCCCACGGCCACATACAGTACTGTCTCGTTTGAAATAATGACATGAAAGAAACTACAATTATTCCATTTATATCACAGGAGAGTTGAACATACACCATTTTTAATGAATAAAATTAAAGAAATAAAATTAAAAATCAACATATTCAAGTTCAACAAAACTTCGTATCCAGGTTTCATGTGATATGGAATGCATAACGCATACGTATATGGACTAAACACTAAAATCTTTCAGTAATTTTTTCCTGATACATATAAAAAGAGTAGTCAATATTTATTCTGCATTCATGAACTTAAAAACTAATGCATACCTACTGGATTCTTGACGAAATACCAGTATATTTGCACTGTAAACGACGTTTCGTCAAACGATAATGGTCTGCGACGCAAAAAAGGAAGGGGTGGGGGTAATAGGGGTATTCAAAAATTGCCTAAAAATCTACATTTAAATAGGCTTTACATATGAGAACTTTTAAATTTGTAAGTTAATATATTTTTGAAGCAAAAGCAATATTCAAATTTAATTTTTTTGATGTGTATTTGTAGATTCATATAACAGAGTGATCGACCCCCGTCTGGAAAAACGAGCGGGAACGTGATTTATTGAGAAAGGGTGAGGGGGTATTTTTCCGCTATTAAATCAAAACTGGTCGTACAAAAATTATACAAAAAATTATGAAGATTATTTTTACTACCAGCTACCTAAAGAAAGTTTTTTACCAAAATTAAACGACAGGTTTTTTCACTAAAAAAATTTGAATTTGAAAAATACGCAATTTTCAAGGCTTAGAAAATTCATAGTTTTTCAGTTTAAGGTCTTTAAAAATTGTTTTGATGATATGTATATCAAAAAGATGACTATGTTTTTGTGTTAAATGGTTAAAGGAATAAGCCAATTAAATTTGACATTTATATCTAACCTGGTTTTTTTGAAAATCAAGGTTTAAGTAGTTCATTGATTAAAAATTTTCTCTCCTTGTAAACAACTAAAGGGGGGTAACTTTTGGAAGTTCCTGTCCAAAAACCACTCGAACGATTTTGTCCAAAATATGCAAACATGCAGAAAATATACTCATGTAATAAATATACAAAAATAACGAAAATTAAACGACAGGAATTTTTGGTGTGTTGTACATCCTTAAAGGATATTGTCTACTAAAAACAGATGCAAAAGGGCTTGATCGCGAAAATTAATCGTCGCAAACTAGTTTATCCCTGGTAAATCGCGAAATAAAGTCGTCGCGAATAAAAGTTTGTTTACAGTAAACATCAAAGGGCTTAGTGAATATTGTACATGTACTTTGAAGGTTGCTCAATTATCAGACGGACTGAAAAATTAAGCAGCAATAACTGTTTCATTCTTTTTTTTGATGACTAGACATTTTAATCTGTTTAAGTAGGTCATGCCATTTTACCTGACTGTAGTGAGAATTCATGATAACGAGGTTAAAAACATAAATAAAGAGAAAAGGTGTTTGAAACCACAAAATTTTTACAACATATTGTCCACACTGTAACAACTTATCAGCATTTGAGACAGTTTCTTAATTTTTATATTCTGTTAAAAATGTATGCGTACATCTGTATCACAAAATAGTTTAATTTAAAATTTAAATGTTTACATTTCTATTTGTTTTCTCAGTGATAATGCTTCGAAAGTTAGATGAGTTGATTTCTTGTTAATTCAACTAGAATTTAAATTTTGCTAAGCAAAAGGTCATGAGCTATGAAGGTCAAAATACTTTGGCATATTCCATGTATTTTGTAAGAATCTATCATAAAGAATCCAAACACTGACTTAATGTGTAAATATTAAATAATGAGAAAGTTAATTTGCCAGATGACTTTTGAATTTATGTGTTTTGATTGACACAGTTATATAATAAATTCAAAAATACTTAAAGCAAGCATTGAAATATTTTTTTTTTTACATTATAGGTGGAGCAAGGGACGATTTCATCTAAACTGTGTATCGAAAGCAATGCTGAAAACTACTCACAATTCTCCAAAAGTGACAAACGAACAGAAAATTTAGTAGGTCATGATGGTACTCAGTCAAGTAAAAAGGGTCATGAATGTACCATCTGTGGAAGAATTTTAAGTCGAAAGGACCACTTAAAAGTACACATGAAGATACATACTTCTGATCGACCTCATCAATGTGAAATGTGTGGGAAAAGGTTCAACCATTTATGTAGCAAACGTAGACACTTGAAGACACATACAACTTATAAGTGTGAGTTGTGTGGAAAGACATTCAACAACTCACAAGACTTACAGATACACAAAGAAACTCATACTGGTGACAAACTTTGTGAAGTGTGTGGAAAGGCATTTAAAAGAACAGATGCCTTATATGCACATATGAGGGTCCACACCGGTGATAAACCTTATAAATGTGATGTGTGTGGAAAGGCCTCCAGTAATTCAAGTAACTTTCTCAAACACATGAGGATACACACAGGTGAAAAGCCTTATAAATGTGAAGTGTGTGGAAAGGCTTTCTCTGATTCAAGTTGCTTTCAGAGACACGTGAAATCACATACTAGCAATAAATCTTATAGATGTGATGTGTGTGCGAAAGTGTTTTATCAATCAGATAACTTACAGATGCACATGATGGTGCATACAAGTGATAATCCAAAAACACCTGATGGGCGTGACTGGACATTCACTCACGAGGGTGACTTAAAGAAACACATTTTGATACACAATGGCGAGGAACCTTCTGGAAGGTCATTGATCCATTCCGAACACTCAAAGAATCACCGGAGGACACATACAAGTGATAAACCGTACATGTGTGACGTGTGTGGGAAGGCTTTTGCTGTGGCGTTAAGCTTACAACGACACAAGAGGACCCATACCGATGATAAACCTTTATTTATATGTGAAGTGTGTGGAAAGGGATTTTTTAAATTAAGAACTTTAGAGAAACACAAGGAGAAACATTCAAATGAAAAGAAAATTGACATAATTATTCAATAAATTATTTAACATATTATTTTGTATTGATTATGTTGATAGTAATGTACATGTATGTACTGTGAAAGTTATTGTATACATGAAGGATACTTAAACATGGAGAAATCAAATGTTAAGCCACATTGAGAAATATGATCATCAATTATAATGTGATGCATTTCGGATATACTGTATACAGAGTTATTTTCGCCCTCTCACACTCGCAAACAATTAAGCCCCATTTTAAATTCGCCCAGTCATAGTTTTTTTAAAGAAATTTATATAGTGTATTCTTTGAATTTGCCCTGTTTTAAATTCGCCCAAAGGAGGATAGGGCGAAAGGGGCGAAAATTTCCCTGTATACAGTATACACATGCAGTCAATTGATAGATGAGAAAGCTTTAAGGTTAACATAAGTACACATCAATATAAGAAATACAAATGTAACAAAAATAGATAGGGACAGAAAGGTATATCATGCAGCTTATCAGTTTAACATAAACAAACCAGTGAAGAAAACCAACTAGTTCAGATACTTAACATATTGTCTTCAGAGATGTAGAAGTTCCATTTTAATAAACTTTGATTTTGGGATTATCTTGAATTAATAAGCCGCAATATCCATACAAGGAATTGTTATCATTTCATATCATTTGAAATTAAAAAATTCAAAATACATGTAGTTGAACATTGTATGATGTTGTCCACCCTTCAAAATAGTGAAAATGTTTTTGTTTTTTTTTAAGATATGAAGCAATCTAAGTTTTTATCTTTTATAAAATAATAATATAGTTGAAATATGATTTGATCAGCAAGATACATGCATGATATTTCTGTTTGATTTTCTTGAAAATTTTCATATTAAAAATGCAAATTATATATTTTAATGGTGCCTTGCTTATGATGCTGGGTTTGATCTAAATTTTAGTATTAGGTCCCATTTCCTTTTAACAAACTAAACTTGCATGGATGCTACGTCTAAGGATGCACATTTCCAGGTTTATTTGGGATGCTCGATTTCACCTTTTTTCAGATAGTGACAAGTTAAAAGTTTTGGAGCAGGTTTATTCTAAAGTTACTATAAGCCCTATATTAACCTTGAACTAGCTACAGAGAGTACATCTAAGGATGCACACTACTGGACCTTACTTTGATTGCTCGATTTAACCTACATTTTTCAGATGAGTGACACGGATCAAGTTTTTGGAGCTTGCTCTTTCTGAAGTAACTACTTGTATAAGCCATACGTAAACCAAGGGATACACACTATCAGAGTTACTTCAGATGCTGGATGTCCTACAATTTTTCAGATGAATGACAAGGTTGAAAAATTGAGCATCCCCTGTGGACATGTGACACCCGACACGTGCTTCTTGTTATGTTCGGGAAAAGGGGAGAATCCGTGGACAACTCATTGTGTTAATAATGACCTTACAATCAGTTTGAAAAAAAAAATGAGCATATGACATGAAACTGTATTTGCTGGGAAGGTCATTGTATCGATCATAAAATTAAAGATGCCTCAGCAATTTGTATGTCAATAACAGTGGCAGATCCAGAAATTTTTAAAAGGGGGGGGGGGCGACCACTTTGAGGTCAGTGTAGGGGCCCACACACAAAAAACATTGATTTAACAAATATTGTGTATTTTCTTGGACACAAAGGGTGGAGGGGCGGACCCCCCTCTAAATCGGCCAGTGAATAACCAACTAACAACGTTTTAGAAATTTAGACCAGAGTTAAGAAATCAGTCAGGGGTATCGGATTCGAAAGGTATATCCCCGTGTTGATATCGGAGACAGGAAGATTGAAATGATATTATGTCGATATACGGGTCATTTCCAGCTTAAGAAATAATTAAGGTGAAATAAAGACTTCCATATCAATTTGATATATATCCAAGGTATTCAAAATATCAGTGTTCCACTGTTCAACTGTAAGTCAATTAAATAGCATGGACGTCTTTCTTTTTAAAGGGGGGGGGGGGCGCTGTTGTAAAAACTAATTTTACAAAAACTGAATCATTTATTTATTTCTCTTCCTGTACTTATTATTGACAAACTTTCCTCACTAAATAAATTTTAATTAAGATATCTTTTAATTGATATCGAAATCAAATGTGATAAGTAAGGTTTAAGCAATATGAGCTGCGACTTTGATGTGGGAATTTTCTGGCGCAATATATATTGATAATAGATAATAAATATATCCATGGCAGAAAAAAATAACGTTAATAATCTTCTGTTAATTGTTGATATTTGTGGTGGAAGAACTATTAATTTATAAGCTTCGATTGAAACAAAATTAGATTCTTGTCGTCCTGTACAATAATGATTTCTTATATAAAACTACAAATTGGATTGTACATAGAAGTCTTTCTTCTGCTTTATTTTAGTATAATGGGTCATAAAGGTTTAAAATCAGTTAAATACATTTTTTTTATTTATTTACAGAAACAACACATTACATATATGTTCGGAAGCAAACATTTAAATATATTTAAGGTCAGACGACACGTTCCTCAAAAATATATAACTTTTCCCAAAAAATTGTCATTGAAGTTTAGGTACTTAAACAAGTTTCCTCACAAAAAATTAGGGTACCTTACCAGGCATTTAGACAAGATACAACAGGTTGATATTTCTCAAATATACATGTATATCCCATATGGGTATTCATCTGAATGGCCTATATCACAATTTTTGACGTACTTATATTTAAAAACATCTTGAACACAATGTAGAAATTACAAGCGAATGACAAATATGCATAATTTTTGTATAATACCAAGAAATACAAAACATACATGTTTATTTGAGGAACGTGTCGTCTGACCTTAATGGCACTCTCACATACAGACATACACACACTTACATACAAGGTGAGACACACACCTACAATATTACATGTGGAAGGGGTGTGTGAAATAAATATGTCAGTCTTACATAGGTTACAATATAACAATAGTATAAAACTCCTATGCTTAATCATTACTTTGAAAAAGACATTTCCAATTTGACCATCTTTTTTCTAATTGTTCAACATCATATAATTTTTTTTTCTAGAACAAAATAATTATTTAGGTACAATAATAAATCATTAAATAAAATGGTACACTTTTTTCTTGATAACACATTTTAACAGCAAAATAAAATGTTCAAAAATACAGCTCCTGTTGCTTAAAGAGAACAATAGCTATAATCAGGATGACCTGTCTGGAGGTTTTAAGGATGGTAAATATTGACAACTTTATGAAATCCTTTAAATGCACTTGGGTCAAAAGACTGTTGACTGCAGGAAACAAACATGCATATAGTTTGATATATTCCTGACAGTTAATGGAAATGATGTTATAAAAGAGGTTTTGGATTATAGAGATGAATATATCTCTATAAATGTCATAGTGGCAACGAACAATCTTTTTTGGTCTGGTGTTTTTAGTTCTTGGCAATATAACTTTTCTGGCCAACTTGGTTCTTAAGAACTTTGAGAAGATTTTTTTAATGAACCCATCCTATTTTTGTCTTTTCTTGATTATCTCCCCTTGTGAAGGAACTTGTCCTTTATTTTTACAATTCTGCCCTTTATTCGAGGATGCTTTGTACCAAGACTGGTTAAAATTGGCCCAGTGGTTCTTTTGAAAAAGGTTTTGGTTCGGGTGAGCTAAAAAGCGTTTTGCATCACAATAATAGGGATCGGGATCGTCATTTTGATTTTTGTACACAAAGCCAGACAGAGATCGGTATTGATCAACAAAGGATCAATTATCAGGTAATTTCTTACCCTATTTAGTAGTATAATTTGATAAATACATGTATCCAAAGAGCTGTGCAATAAACGTGTTCCTTTTAAAGTATGTCAGTGGAACGAGTGAAAAGGAAATATGTGAGAATGTATGGCTCAAAGGCAAGCGGTAAAACTAGTACGGCTACTAGGGCTAGTCCCAGACTTTTCTATATTCTGATATATATACATTTGTGGTATCTTTCCATTATATAAACATACAGAGAGAAAATTTCTTCAATTCTGTATGAAGTTTGTCAGAGGTCAGAGGTCAATACGTGACCTAATCACACGGCGCAATAATATCTACCGGTACATGAATTATAAAATGACCTGCTCTGCTTGCTTTTCATGTATAAAAATGAATAAAATAAGCAAGTAAAATAACAATGTTATTTTATTTTAAATGTAAACAAGTATTTCATACAGTTTTTGGGCCATCGATTCAACCTGTGTACATAGAGAAAACTAGGAGCCAAGCGTTTGTTTACATTTTTCTTCACTTTTGTCAGTTGCACAGTCTCTAACGTTCATCCTTATTTTTTGGATAGACCTTTGGTTAAATTTTCATGATAAACTTTTATTTTATCTTTAAATTTTACTCACGATAAATGTGTAAATCTGTTGGAAAATATCTTTGCAATCATGCCATGAACAGCTGCCAAACACCTCGGCGTTTTCGTAGTTCAATGTAAAGCTGTCGCCAGTGTCTCCGTGTTTATCAGTGTTTTACGATAAGTATGCCTTTAGTTGCTGAAACCGTGGAATGTTTTTGATCAAATTGCAAATTAACTGGCTCGAACAAGTGTCTCAGTCCATGATCCATCCATCCCTTTCCAGCGACCGAAATTCCTCCAACTTTTTATCATCAAACTTCGGACGTGTTTCTTGTGTCTTTTCAGCATCGATTATCATTTTTCACGAATAAAATATTCCCAGACAACAATCTGTTCACTATTACTGATCACAAGCAGCCTTTCACAAAATATTCCCTTTGAAATAGATTCCTTAGCCTAACGAATTCGAAGCGTAACCGCCATGCAAGCCGATTTACACCCTGCGTCATTTTTTCAAAATCTACGACGAACGGTTAGTGCAATAAATAAATTCGAAAATATTCAATTGTCTGCCTCAAATGTATATATAAGTAATAGATAACAAGTTTATAAACTTCAATGGGAATTGAAGTGGGTCGGTACATGATCAAATCTTCTGAGAAGGCCTTCGACCTTCCCAGGATTTGATCACGTGACCGACCCACCTCAATTCCCATTGAAGTTTATAAACTTGTTATTTATTTCTTAAGTATAGAGTACAGTAGCGCTTCATTCATTCAACGCATTCATTCATTTCTGTTTTGAAAAACATTCACCTATACTTAAATATTTTTAATTTCTGACTCTGTTCCAGTCAGCGGTTAAAAACAATGGCAAAAATTCATATAATGATATATATGGAGATAATGAACAGTGTTATCCTCTTCACAGTAATTGTGGTATTGCTGTTCTGCAGGGCAAATTAATAACGTTTGGCGGAGTTTTTGTTAAAAGATAGATAAATGACTTTTGGTTTATTGAAACATCTGCTTTTTCGTCATATTTCACCAAAATATATCATTTTGCCATGCAAAGGAGCAGTACCGCACTTATCACGAAAGGGTCTATTTAAGTGAAAAAGTCCATAAAACAATACAAAATAAAAGAGGAGCAAACACGGACCACCAAAACATCAGAGGTGGGACAGGGGATGACAAATCCCATTGCCTGATGCTCGGGGCTAGTGAATTTTAGGGGTGGGCAAGTGAAATTTTATCAACCACTTGCCCGTGGGCAAGTGACTTATCAAAAATAGAATTTATTTGTAGGCCATAAATTTAAAGCTGGGCATAGGGGCTTGTATGATTTACTCAGCATTTGTCTTCCTCTTATTTTTAAATATCTATAAATACAGACTGAATTAGTTTATGGTAGGGCAAGCAAAAATTCAGGTAGGGCAAGTCAATTTTGACCATGTACTTGCACTTGGACAAGTGCCTTAAAAATCTATTTGTCAGTCCCTGTGGGATCAGGTGCCAAGGAGGAGTTAAAGTCATCACGTTTATCAATAAGCTTGGTTGTTAGATTACCAGTTAATCTTTGTTGAGATTCTGCTGGGCTGGATATATATTTTTACTGATGTCTACAGAATCTCTGGACTACCATTAATTATTCATGTCTGGAAATTAAACCCCAACTTCAGTCAACTATAGAAAGAATTTTTCACAAAGGCAACACTGCTGTTCACTTCAGTTTAGTCATTTGGTTGTTTATTTGACTCTGTCACCATTCACTGAAATATCCATTTAAAATGTGGCCTCTGTAATGAAATTGTTTACCTCCTCGCATAAAAGAGTTTCTATAGTTTGTTTTCTTTAGATTTGGTGTTCAATACAATAGCCACAGTTGATAGTTGTTTAGATTCACATGTAAAGAAAACAAACTATAGGAACTCTTTTATGCGAGGAGGTAAACAATTTCATCATGGGAGCCATATTTTGAACAGAAATTTCACTGAATATTTACATGTTGGGATTAACATGCCTAAACGGTAAGCAATGTAGAAATAATATGTTTTACGGTGTGACCGTTGGGGCGAGCGCAGTTGTACCACCAAAAACACTGTAAAAATTGATCAGCCACTTCAAATATCAAGCCGCACGAGATATCTCGACTAACTGTGACGTCACACGACGTCACGGAGCTCGTCGGAGCTTACGGAGACAGCCGAGCGTCTGTTTGAAACTATAGATCTAGTGCAATTTTGGTTGAAAAACATTGTAGAGTTATTTTTTGTTTCTTTGAAAGATTTCCACAAACTGTTCTAGCCTTTTACTAGTATGTTTTACGTTATTATTTTATTTATTTATTTATTTGCGCAAAGGACATTGGGTAGTGCGGGAATTCTGGGAATGTTGCACAGAGAAATTTGGCTGACGTATGTACAGATTTCAATCCGAATTTCCTCTGTTCTTACACGTTAGTCTATTGAGCTCGCTTTGCGAGCGTCGCTCGCGACACTCGCTGCGCTCGCTAATAGTGACAGAGAGTCAATTAAACAACCAAATGACTATACTGAAGGGAACAGCAGTGTTGCCTATGTGAATTATTCTTTCTATAGACTACGGGGATTTACCCCGGATTTTTATCCATAAACCCTGAGGCCGAAGGGTGTATGGAATACAACCTGGAGTAAATCCCTGTACACCATTGATTGGACCTGGATAACAAATTTATTTCCTTTGTACCCATAAAAATGCTTTGTAAGTTACATTAGAGTCTAATAAAGTGTGTCTCAATCTATCGATAAAATAAATACTTATAGTAGGCATCATGACATCTTGTTATTTGGTTTTTATCATAGAGAAAGTATGCATTGTGATGTCACATTTTATTTTGACCTGGCTCAAGTCGAATGCATGGAAATTTACATTCGACTTTGTAATCAATCAAAGCTCGTGTTACAAGCTACATCCGAAATAATGTCATTTATTTAAAAGAAATAAAAAACAAAAAAAGAAGCTACTTTATGGTAATGTACCTTACTAAATAATTTATATGAATCATATTATTAGACTAACAAATACTAGTCTTGTTAGTCCAATACCAGCTAATAACTAACATGAATTTAAAATGACATAACAGGATACTGTGAGATTTTTATTTGTGACTGTCAACATGGTCAATGTTTGTTACATTTTGTTGGTCGTAAGGACATACTGTAGAAGCACAAATTTTCTTGGGCATAAAATTTTGTTGTTTTGTCATCAAAAATAATTTTGTGTGCAATTAATTACGTTGTTTTAGAACTAATCCTCTTCAATATATAGTCAGATAAAATTTCATGTGGGATTTAATTTCGTTGAATTTTGTTAACAACGAAATAAACAAAATTTAATCCCCCACAAATATTTGTGCTTTTACAGTAATTTCATGAGTAACTCATACATGCCATATATTCAGAAGATCCAAGGAATAGATATATTGACAAAGTAGTTGTTAGTGGGGATGTAATTTCTGTGATGGATATTGGAGTCTGAGACTTAAAAAATCCATAAATATTATAGGTCCCCCTAGAAAATCATGGTGATTTCACAGTACTTATGATTACAAATGTGTTTCTTCTTGAGAATGATTTTGCTTAATCTTTTTCAGGTTTAGAGCAGATGTCCAGTTTATATGGTCGTTAAGTCAGAGGTCGCTACCTTGCATACACAGTGTCCAAATATCCAGTATTTGATGATGAATCTTCTGGTATATATACAGTTAATTCTCGATAAACCGCCACCTTTTGTAATTTAGAAATCATGGCGGTATAACGAATTTGGCGATGAATTGAATTTCCCATTTTCTGGAAAACAAGAAGTAGAGTTACCGTTCTTAGAAATGCCGTTTAGCGTTTCTATTCTTATTATTACATGTACATGTATATAAAAACTGATTGAAAATACTTTAAGTTATTTTTTTTAATGTACAAATTCGCTAAAACAAAATGTGCAGTTATGAAATAAAGACAAGTACATGGGTGTGCATTTAAATCTGCAGTTCTGCTATTGAAAAAAAAAAAAAAAAAAAAAAACGTGCTGGGTCGATCGTCGTGATATATTGCCGATAGTAAGTAAAATGAATTCTTGAATAAATTTATTGTTTATGGCATCATTGATAATGAATCGTTCACAATTTATACCGTATAATTATTTATTCAACAAATGTTGCAATGTTTAGAGCAGAGATCATCTAAATTATATAGTTATCGGCGTACTTTAACAACGACCGCTTTCGTGGCAAAGCCGTGACTAAATGATTTTTATTAAACAGAAAACAAAATTTCATGTTAAAATCTTTGTTTATTTAGTTCTTGTTTAATTACTTAATTACAGGTACCTTGTCTGTCTTTGCATGCTTTACAACAAGGATAGTGTCAACCAATTAGTCGCGCTTCACTGACCACACGCACCTGTGGCGGTATATCGAGATAATTGACACTTAAAAATGGACATTTGTTGTGAAAACAGGGTGGCGGATGGCGGTATGCGAATTTGGCGTTATAAAGAGAATTTTATATAGCAGGAAAAACGTTCTTGGGAAATCATGGCGGTATTGCGAAAATGGCGATGAATCGAATGGCGATAATTCGAGAATTGACTGTAGATATAAATAGAAACAAAAACACTTATTTTTTTGGAATGAATTTATGAAATAACAATTCACAATTCCTAAGGGAAATTCATGAGGTCATTGTTTTAATTGTGTCAGAGGACCATTTAAAAGAAAGAAAATATTTATAATACAACATCCTATTTATATGATATTAAATAACATGATAAATGTGATGGAAGATTCGGTGTCTTGTTTTACAACAAGCTCCCTCATTTGAGTTGTCTGTCTTACAGCTAGTAGTGCAAGCCATACTTGACAACATTTTGTGTTCTCACTCTTTGATAAAATCATTCAAAATTTCAGAATGGAAGCTTACTTGATCAACAAAACTGATCTAGTTCAAATATACATTTTTCCTATGTTTTTAATCACCCCCTAAGGCAATGATTCTTAGACTAACAATTATAATTACTCATTTTATTTGTATGAAGTAACATAAATTTATTTGAAAGTTTGTAGATTTCTGACACAAGTTTGTAGTCTTATCTTAGATTTTACATTTCACAAGACAATAACCTTTATCTAGTATTACAATTTATTTCTACCTTTGTCACATTTTTAGGGGAGGAAATAAAGCTTATTCATCCAAATCACACACTCAAAGTGATGCTGGAAAGTTTAGCAATTACAGTCCTGAAAATAGCCAACCAATTGCAGTGCTGATAACAACCAAACAATACCAGTCCTGAAAATAGCCAACCAATAACAGTGCTGATAACAACCAACCAATACCAGTGCTGATAACAACCAACTAACTACAGTGCTGATAACAACCAACCAGTAACAGTGCTGATAACAACCAACCAATTACAGTGCTGATAATTACCATCAAACAACACTTGGGCAAAAGCATTTTGAATGTATCACCTATGACTCATTCAGAACATGTAGGAATCACCCCAAGACATATACCATTTAAATACCCTCTGCATGCTATTTTTCCTGGAGAACATTATTTGAAAAGACATATGAACACGCAACTTGTATAGCAGTTTTAAAGAGATGCATCAGTACACCAGTGGAGAAAGCCAAATGAATGTAACATTCTGCTTGAAAACCTCTACCTGTTCAGATGAACTACCAACACAAATGGGGACAGATACAGGTAAAAAACTGTTTAAGTGTGAGATTTGTGGAAGTGAGCTGAAGGAAGCAGGAAACTTAAGGAAACACATGAGGATACATACAGGTGAGAAACCGTATGTATGTGGTCTGTGTGGAAGGGCATTCAGCTTATCGAGTTCCTTAAGAACACACATGAGGACACATACAGGTGAGACACCTTTTAAATGCGAGGAGTGTGGGAAGGCGTTCATGCAATCAAATGCTTTACGCAGACACATGTGGACCCATACAGGTTATAAACCTTTTAAATGTGATGTGTGTGGGAGGTTATTTATCCAATCCAGTGTCTTAGAGATACACATGAGGACACATAGAGCTGATGACAAATGTGATGTGTGTGGGAAGACCTTCAAGAAATTATCTCTTTTAAAGAGACACATGTTGAGTCATTCAGATGATGAACCTTATAAATGTGAAGTGTGTGGAAAGACATACAAGGACATACAGAACTTAAATCTACATATAAAGACACATACAGGAGATGAGCATTATAAATGTGATGTGTGTGAGAAGATCTTCTCTTTATCTCAGCATTTTAAGTCACACATGAAGACCCATGCAAGAAACTTTTTCATTCAGTCGGAACAATCGCAGATGTACTTAAAGACCCATGCAGATGGAGAGTCTGCAGAGAGTGATGAGATTGGGAATTCAGAGAGAGAAGGAGACAATTCTTGTGATGTGTGCGGAAAAGTACTGAGCGATTCAAAGGGTTTACAAAGACACTTGAAAATACATGAAGGAGAGAATCCATATTCATGCTATATCTGCAGGAAAACATTTCGTGAAATGGCACACTTGAAAAGACACGCAAAGACGCATACATCTGAAAAAGCTCATAGTTGTGATGTGTGTGGGAAGGAGTTTAAATATCCAGATGGTTTACGAAGACACATGAGAATACATCGCGAAGAAAAACCTCATTCATGTGATATTTGCGGGAAAGCCTTTCGTGAAAGGGCACACTTGAAAAGACACACACAGACACATACATCCAAAAAAGACCATAGCTGTGAGGAGTGTGGGAAGGACTTTAAATATCCAGATAGTTTACAGAGACATATGAAAACACATCAAGAAAAGAAAGAAGAAACAACCTAAGTTTATGTGATATAATTAGAAAACTTTGAATTCAAAAGACACATAATTACACATTTGAAAAATTATCATGAGAAAATATAATTATTGAGGTGAAACAAAAACAAAACAGAAAATTAAATCTAATTTGTGTGGGAAATTAAAGAAATTAAAATTATAGAACTCATGTGTATATTGAGCATGTTGAGAAGACGCTCTTACAGTCAGAAGGGATATAAACAGGGCGACAAAATTCTTAAAAAATATATTTATAAATGGTATCAGAAACACGTGGTGTTGTTTGTTTACGTGTTTAGGAAGTATTTATAGTATCTAAAATTTGATTGGGTTGTAACGATTGATATGAGTTCAAATGAAATCATGCGGAACAGGTAGTTTACCTGTGTCCAGGTATTAAGAATTAGAGGTTATTCGAGGTTTCGCAGCGCTTAGTGCAACAAGTTCCCGCCCACCCACCCTACTTTCTAATGTATATATCTGATATGATTTAATATTTTCGTTTTTTATTAGGGCCCCGCAAGAATTTGCGGGTGCCCTATAGTAATCACTCTGTCCGTCCGTCTGTCTGTCTGTCTGTCCGTCTGTCACTCTTCTGTCCACAAATTTTCTGTTTTTTTCTAATAACTTTTTTTATGGTTGCCCAATCAAGTTCAAATTTGGTATGGTAGTTAAGTAGGCAGAAATACATATTTTGATGCTAAGTTTGGTTCTCTATGTCTTCTGGTTTGGAGCTGGGGTGGTGGGGTAGATTCCTTAACTATGCATAAGAATGAATGGGCAACTTTTTTTATGGTTACCCAATCAAGTACAAATTTGGTATGGTAGTTCAGTAGGCAGAAATACATATTTTGATGCTAAGTTTGGTTCTCTATGTCCCCTGGTTTGGAGCTGGGGTGGTGGGGTAGATTCCTTAACTTTATATACGAAAGCATTGGCAAAGAGAGATAACTGCTGAAGATGTTCCCATTGTAAACTGAATGCTGCTATGAGTCCCTTGGGATTAATTAGCTTTCCTCCTGAAGAAAATCCAGAGCATTATCTTTATCTGTCAAATTGAGATGAATTACCACCTCTGTCTGCAAATGAAGTTTGTTTTGAAGTTAAGTCAATTTGGAATGCTATGAACACTCTGAAATGTGGATTTAAATATAAATTTTTATAATTTATTTTTGTTTAATACCACAGGTAGTTATGATTTCATTGAATTCTAATAACAAGAAATAGATTAAAGAAGATTTTTTGATTTACTTTAAATTTGTCACTTTATGTTAATTCAAGAATATTATTAATTTTTAGGATAGTTGTATAAAAACCCCATTATATCATTAATACTGAAAAAGTTCTTATTGTAACATAAGATGAAAATGATGAGAGAGGTACAATTAATCCCTTGGGATTAATTATCTAGCCTGCTGCAGAAAATTTAGTAGGCTTTTCTTTATCTGTCACTTTAAGATTAATGTAAACCTTTGTCTGCAACTGCTGTTTGTTTGAAGTTAAGGTCAAGCCTTCATGATATTTGCATTCATTGAAGGCTGGCATTTTATATAACACTAGCTTCATAATTGTTTAAATATACATTCAATGTTAAGTTGTTCTTTACTGCCTAATGTAAATACAAGGATATTATTTTCAGGTTTTTGAATATTCAGGAATTATCTTGAAATTTTAAGAATACAATTGCTGTTGCTGTTGCTTATTCTTCGTACATTTTTTAATCATTCCGTAAGCTGCACCGGCTATTAATTCTACCCCATGGCGGGGCCCTTGCTGACTGGTCAGTTTTCTAGTTATTGAGGTGAAACAAAAATTAAAGAAATTGAAATTATAGAATTCATGTGTATTAATTGAGCATGCTGAGAAGACGCTCTGACAGTCAGAAGGGATACAAGACAGGGCAACAAAAGTCTTAAAAAGTGTCATTTTTTTTCCAGAAAAAACTCAAGTGTGACAAAATTATGTAATTGAAATATTAAAAACCAGAAAAAATTAAAACATATTAACGCTCTCAGAGTTAGTGAAGATTCTTAAGTTATATATCTCATGGTACAAGTAACATGAGTAAGGTTAGTGCCACACAAGGGTATCAAAATTTTACATGAAATTACCCCACACCATACCCCACCCCCAATATTTTTTTAAAACCTCAATCTGCAAACATTTCTACCAGTATATTTTTTTTTCATTCATTTTGAACTCTGGGGTAGAGTTGGATAAGATCAGTATAAAATTTTGCACAATGCAGGTCTGTAGGGAAAAAATTCTTCTAAACTCCTTAAGGCCATGCAAATGACATTGGTATTGAAGCATTCCTATGGTATATGGATTTGAGGCAACTTATGTCGACTTGAACAATTCCTTAAGACATTCCAGAACACACACATATATATATGATATATCAAAATAATAATTTTCAAGAGGGACATTAAACAATATACAATCAATCATTTATGTTAATAACCCTATCTAAAGAATAAGCCTGAGGGCCAAAAAAGTGAACTGGCTATAAAAAAAATATATCTTTAAAATTCATTAAAAATAGGTAATTGGAAAATCAGAGGAAATTGTATTGGGATAAATGATAAGTTTAAGGTTCAAATTCTAATTATTTATTTCAAGTAACAAAATTATTTCATTATGTCTTAATCTTGACTCGAGTTCTGTAAATTGTAATATCAGACTTTATGTAACATCGTCTCAGTACTTTCAGCTCTTTGATTATAACAGATCGGGATCGGCATTCACTTCGCCTTAGCGCAAAGTGCCCGTGGCATTCCTTACTTTTTTTTTTGTTGACACTTCGGCAGGTATTTTCTAAGTTTAACAATATTTAAAAGAAAAAAAAATGTTTTAGAGACATAGTTAAATGTTTTTACCATAACGAAGAAAGATATCACTGAAAAAGATTGTTTTTACAGGGACACTGGATTGTTTATATAATAAATTTTGCACAACAGGCTGACAACAACACTGAACAATGTCCCAAATGAGATAGAAGACCCAAGCAAGTTCTCTAAGGTACAGGCATCTGAAGCTTGGGTAGCACAAATGTGAAAATAACACAAGGTAAGACTGTACTCTGAAAATGGAGGCTGCTTACACCTGATTTAGGTCTATGTATTTTGCAAGCAAACAGTCAGATAGTCTGAAACATCTGAGGTTTTCCAAGAAAAGATGTTTGGGCAATCCGTCAGAGTAATATTCTATAAAAAATATTTATTGTTCGATAATCTAATATTTGATGCTGAACACATTTCACAAAAGGAATATGTGTCCGCCATATTCGATCATATTCTGGCTTTATCTGAGGACCGCTTTATAAAGCGACTGACTTAATTAGTCACTGGTGCAGATGGACATATGCTATGCTGCAATCAGTAGCGACAAAAAATAACTGTATACTTTTTTAAGCTCTTCTTATGCAGAAGTAGAACATTCACCTGAATGTTCATTTAAAAATATTAGATTGATTCAGGGAAATATGATTTTGACAGAATGAGTCTTCAAAGAAATAGATTAAACATTGTGATTGTTTTGCAGCATTCCCTAATGTTTGTGTTAACCCAGGAAAACAACTGCAACATACTGTGGACTACTATTTGGGTAAGAGAACAGTAAACTCGCCTTGCATCTGCAAGACTTATAAACATAATCATGATAATTGTATCACATTTAACCAAATTCATTACCAATCAATTTCCTTGTCCATGTTGTCAGCAGTGTATTCATGATTTAGAGCACCGATGTCAATATTAAACCCACTTTTTAAAGTACACATACAGAATGTGTGTAATATTAATTAAAAGAATGCAAATACAGTAAAACTCAGTTATGGCAAAGTCCTGGGGATCTGTGTATTTACTTCGCTATATCCAGAATTCGTTATATTTGTATAACGAATTTGTATAACAATATATAGCGAATTAGCAATATGCATGTTTTCCTTCAAGTTTTACTACCAAATATGTTATAAATGAAGCAAATACAGTCAATTCTCGAATTATCGCCATTTGATTCATCGCCATTTTTGGCTTACCGCCATGATTTCCCACGAACGTTTTTCCTGCTATATAAAATTCTCTTTATAACGCCAAATTAGCATACCGCCATCCGCCACCCTGTTTTCACAACAGATGTCCATATTTAAGTGTCAATTATCTCAATATACCGCCACAGGTGCGTGTGGTCAGTGAAGCGCTGCTAATTGGTTGACACTATCCCTGTTGTAAAGCATGCAAAGGCAGACAAGGTACCGGTACATGCAATTAAGTCATTAAACAAGAACTAAATTAAAACAAAGATTTTAACATGAACTGTTAAAATAATTTTGTTAATGGTTTCTGTTTAATAAAAATCATTTAGTCAAGGCTTTGCGAATTGTGAATGTTTAATTAACAATGTTGCCATAAACAATAAATTTATTCACTATCGACAACATATCACGACGATCGACCCAGCATGTTTTTTTTTTAGCTCACCTGAGCCGAAGGCTCAAGTGAGCTTTTCTGATCAAAATTTGTCCGTTGTCTGTCGTTGTCGTTGTCGTTGTTGTCGTTGTTGTCGTCGTAAACTTTTCACATTTTCATCTTCTTCTCAAGAACCACTGGGCCAATTTCAACCAAACTTGGTACAAAGTATCCTTGGGTGAAGGGGATTCAAGTTTGTTCAAATGAAGGGCCAGGCCCTTTTCCAAGGGGAGATAATTATGAATTAGAGAAAAATTAATGACATTTTTAAAAAATCTTCTTCTCAAGAACCACTGGGCCAGGAAAGATGAAACTGATGTGGAATCATCCTCAGGTAGTGTAGATTCAAGTTTGTTCAAATCATGACCCCCGGGGGTAGGGTGGGGCCAAAATGGCCGATCAAAGTTTTACATAGGAATATATAGGGAAAATCTTTAAAAATCTTCTTCTCAAGAACCACTGGGCCAGGAAAGATGAAACTGATGTGGAATCATCCTCAGGTAGTGTAGATTCAAGTTTGTTCAAATCATGACCCCC